TCGAAAAGTGGCCCCACAGGAAGTGGTCAGTTAAATTGAGACCTGAGATGTATACCGCAGTCTGGACCCCTTTCCTGTTCCCCACAGGGCGGCTGTATCTGCCCGCCCCCCCTCACCTCATAGCCCCCACGCAGCTCACCTCCTGCCCCTGGACCGCCTTGCTTGCATCGCGTTAGCCTGTGAGCGTCACCTCGTGACCATGGAGACTGGCGCCGGCAGCGCCTAAACTTCAGTCTGCGGAGTTGTTTGTCTCTCCACCAGAACTGCCCGCCCCTCACGCCCACCAGCCTAACTACGCCTTCCACCCAGCCCCACCCACATCTGTGGCCCCCTCTCACCTCCAGCCCAGTCTGACTCTGACCTTACACAGACCTCATCTGTATGTTTGATTTTTAGTGGTCCATTTAAGCAAAAGTAGCCAGGAACCAAGTATACTAGTGGACATGCAGTTTAATGCATACATTAAATGCATTAATGCAATGAATACATTAATACATATACTTTATGTACATAACACATTATGTATTAATGTACATGATACACTAATGTAATGAAATACATTAAGTAATAAATACACTAATAACATATACTTCATAAAATTAAAGACAACTCTGAAAAAGAACTTGTTCAGACAATACAAATAAAATACACTAACTGGGAGAAAATATGAATTACCTAAAACTTTGGGGTGACAGAAGGTCAAAAGAGAAAGAATGGGAAAAGATACATAGGATGGTGCAAAAGTACCTTTAATCAGAAACATAAATCACATGAAAATTACATAATAATATGCAGTAGACTTTGAGGTAAAAACCATGACTAGAGATTATGAGTGCTTCAAAAAGCTTAATTTTACCCAGAAGATCCAAATTCACCATGTACTTAATATCATAAACTTAAATTATATAGAACAGAGACACAAAGAAAACTTTATAATCATAACAGATTTGGCAAACCTCTCTCGTCCGAGATAGAGCACACCTCTTTCAGAAACAGAACACCACCTCACAAAATGCAGTAAGGGTGTAAGAAACACCATGAGCAGCAAATTGGATTCAACATTCACAAAGAACCAACTGACTACACACAACTTTCCCTGCTGACCTGCAATAAGGTGTTATTCTAAAAATGAACACAAGATGGCAGCAGACAACCACTGTAGGAGCTTTTTTTTCATTGACCTCATTGTACTAAGGATCGCGTTTCAAAAAAAGTATATCGAAGGTAGATTGAAATTATATACAGTATGTTTCTTGCTCTCATTGCACCTAATCTAGTAATCAGTAATAAAAGATAACTAGAAAGTCCTTGTATTTAAAAATTATAAAATACGCTTCTAAATAACCCACAAATTAAATTACAATTGCAGTTAAAAAATAATTTGAAATGAGTGATAATAAAAATAGTACATAAAAAACACTGGGAAAAAATGTATTGATAAATCCACACATTAGGGACAGAGCCTTAAAATTCGCAAATTTTGCATCATCTTACAGACCCGGAATAATAAATTAAATCCAGAGAAAGTGGAAGAATGGAAACATGCAAGTAGTGATGTCTGGAAGGGTATACACTTTGTTTCATTAAATGATTTTTTATTGTTATTCTATTACAGTTTCCCAACTCTTCCCTTTTGCCCTCCTCCACCCATCCCAGCCCACACACCCCCACCTTCTTTAGAAGCATATATACTTAATATAACAGCAGATATTACCTGTTTGGGTAGGATTTTCAAATATTTTTATTTTTATATATAATTTAAGTAAGCAGCAACAACAACAAAAAGGCTGTCTCAGTTTGGGCTTTAAAAGTACTACAGGAAAACACAGCATAATTTAAAAATAATAATAATCTAGTCTGCTGTGGTGACAACACCAGAGGCCTTTTCTTTGCTCGCCCAGCCTGATCTCATTGTTCAGAGGGGCTCCTTTTCCAATTTTCACGTCTTCATGTGCAAATGCAGCCGAGCAAAGGGGAAACGAAGGTCTAGAGGAGAGAAGTCCTGTAGATGAGCAGAGAAGCCCTAAGCAGCACAGCGGGAGAGGGAGTTGCCCAGGACTGCCTCACCTCAGGGCCTCCTCACAGCCATGATGCTACGTAAAGAAGCAACAGCACTACTGAGCTGATACACTGTGTTGTTGACAGGAGAGACCTGGTTTTTCTTGCTGACACATGTAAAGAATTACATATCAGCAAACCTAGTAGTATGTAATCAGTTTATTAGTGGCCCGTTACCATGGAAGAGAACAGGACTGGGTAGAATAGGGGGTGAAAGGCAAAGTTTCAGGGTCAAGTAGGGCAACAAAAGCAAGAGCAGCTGAAGACCAGGTGGCACGCCCCGGGGCAGCCTGAGGCTGGGTATCCAGAAGCCCTGTCCCCAAGAGCACCCCGAGCCCGAGAGAGAGAGAGAGAGAGAGAGAGAGAGACTCCTTTGTTCAGAGGACCTATATAATTGGTGGGATGGAAGGAAAAAAAGTTACAAATTGATTAATGGGTAAATGCAGTGCCAGCTTTCCCAGGGGAATGTGACTACCCACAAGTAGGTATGTGTGGGGGTCTGTTAGCCCCAATTCTTATCTTGTTCCAAGACCCCATTTTTTCACCTTGTAAAACAAATACATGATGGGAGGCAGTTAATTAAAATTGGGGCACTTTCCACGGTTATTTATGGACTCTTTCTGTAAGCATCAGGGACTCCCTCATAAAACAGATAGTGACCAGAGGTAGGCAATTAACCAAAGTTGTTTTATGGGCTCTTTCTTTGGGCACCGGGGACCCTCTCCCACATTCAGGCCTTGGGATGAAAGTACAGTTTCAATCAAGGCTTTCTTTCCCAGATAGTGGAAATGTTACATAGAATTTCAAGGACTTTCTTTCTTGCTAATATAGTGTTTCTTTTAATATTGAAACACCTGGCAATATTATCAGAACAGACTTAGAACTGCTGAATTAGCATGTGAGACTTGTCTCCTTCCTCCTCCCTGCCTCGGTTTACTATTTATTCTACCTAATTGGTAAAAGGTGTTTCCTGGCAACCAGGCTGATAAATGCTGGCCAGTGATAGTACTGCAGTCTCAGAGTTCTTCCCATGCTGTCTCCTGCTTCAACAGTGTTAGCAAACTATAATTTAACAATTTCTCTTCTACTGAAAACTTTAAATCTGTTATTATATGTGTTGGATAAAATACATGGAACATGCTTCATTTCATACACAGGGAAGCATAACTAGGGGGAAATTTTAATACTTTTCTTTTCATTTCATTTATTAATTTGAAAGAGAGAGAGACTTAGTTGTTCCTCTTATGTATTCATTCATTGGTTGCTTCTTGTATGCGCCCTGACTGGAGAATGAACTGACTAGCTTGGCATATAGGCAGGACACTGTAACCAACTGAGCTACCAAGCCAGGGCTACTAGGAGAAAATTTTGAAAAGTGGAATTTCTGGGTCAGAGGGTATGAGGATGTTATTTCTGGATGGCTATTCTCAAAACGATCACTGGGAAGTCTGCACCAAAAGACCCTTCCCCTAGTTTTTCAGAGCAAGGACACTGCACCTGCTTGCTCATCAGCCTCAGAGATGTCAGGAGTCCTCTGGATCCCCATACAGGCCACCAAATTATGTTGACCTTAAAAATATAGCAGTCAGTTATTTTACCAGCAGATAAGGTGTTTATTCAGAAACAGTAAAAAAAAAATTGCAATTTAGGACAAGCAAGCTGTAGCAAAAATCATAGACCAGCTCCACAAGTAAAGGAGAGGAACGTATTTTACAGGCAGAAAGGAGGAAGTTGGGAGGGGTCGCTTCAAATGAAAGTGCATTGTTCAGGGTGAGTTCAGGGTGAGTTCAGTGTCAGTTCAGTGTCAGTTCAGTGTCAGTTCAGGGTGAGGGTGGTTTCTCTCTGGCTGAGGTGTTGGGGAGTCGGTTTCTCCTGGGAGCACATGGTACATCTTCATGTTGGGGCCTATGACAGACAATTTTTCCTGTAATTGACCCCAGGTGATGCTATGTGACAGCACCCCTACTGACCCCCAACTCCCTTTCAGTGAGGTTTCCCTTTATACACTTTCACAGTAATAATTACAGTTAGTTGGCTCATTTCAGATCCATGGAAATCAAGTTATATTTATGTGCTCAAAACGAGGTAAGAACCAGAAACACTCTTCCCACTTTATCCTGTGAAAGCCAGTAGCAGCGAAACTGACCCTGCTCTGTGGACCCCTGTACTCACATTTTACGTTATTTTTATGCAAAACACTTGCAGGGTTTTCCAGCATTTCTACATTTATTTAGTTTTGTTTGGTTTTATCTCATCTTCCTATTTCTGAAATGTTTTTACACCTGAGTTACTTAAACACACCTATTAATCATAACACCACTTCCTTGAGACATGAAATTCTCCCAGTGTGTTTTCCAGTATACTTATTATTCTACTTGTTGTGTTTAAATGTTTGGGCCCTCTGGGACTTATTTTGTGTCTATGAATTGCGTGGTCAAGATTTACTGACTTAAGTTTCCACGGAATGCAATGCAGTCTTGACCGCGTCCTCACTGCTTCGGCAGCTCTAGCTGAAAGTGGGTTTGAAAAGGGGGTGACGGGGTGTGGGGCAGGGACGGGCCTAGATGTGAGTTGGGGATCCCGGCCACAGTCTGGAGGAACAAAGACACTTTGTCAGACGGCAGGAGGGCCGTGTCCACCTGAAGGTCCAGCCCCGGCTAGGGACTCCCAGCTCCTGCGGGGCGGACCCCTCCACCAGCTGCGGGAAAATGAGCCACGGAGCTGCAGGCTGAGCGACAGGCGCTCGGGAGACCCAGGGTAGCCAATCCCCGCGGGGCGGGGCGGGGCGGGTCTTCCCCAAGCCTGTCCAGGAACCCAGGGGGCTCCGCCCCTCTGCCCCGCCCTTTCAGCTCCTTCTGACCGCCCATTGGCGGGCAGGCCCTGGGATCCCAGCACTGATTGGCGGATTGTGCCCACGCGGCTGTCCAGGATGGAACCTCCTCCCCAGGGCTGGAGGCCCAGGAGCTCCGAGAGGATCCTCCGCCGAGGTGGGCAGCGCGGCAGGGGCCCGGGGAGACGGACCGGTAAGCGGGGAGCCCTGCCCTGGGGAACCCTCAGCCCGAGACCTTCCAAGTCCAGCCCGAGAGACCCCAGATGCCCTCATCCCGAGGGGCCCAAACCCCTTCAGCACCGAGGGGCGCGTCCGCTAACCCGGAGGACCCCACGTCTCCTGACCCCCAACGCTCAGACCCCCAAACAGCCTGGAACCCCAGTTCCCCTCAGCTCGGGGCGCCCTTCCTGCAGCTCGCCCGCCCGGAAAGACCAAATCTCCCCAAACGCAGAGACCCCGAATGCCGTCGTCCTGGAAACCGACTCAGTGGAGGGGACCCGGACGCCCCTCGTGAGACGCCCCAACCCCCCTCAGCCGCGGCGGTCTGGCCCTCTCCCCCGGGACGCGGAGTGTCCTCCGCCCGGAAGACGCAGATCGAGTCCTGAGGGACCCCGGGCCTCTCAGCCCGAGAGACCGCGGTCTGCCTGCCGGACACTGCGCCTGCGCCTCGCGCGGGCTTCTCCGGACCCCCGGGGCGCCTCCCGGCCCTTCCCCGGGAGAAGCGCGGTTCCTGCGCCGCCACAGGCCCGCCCGGCCGACGGGCCCCTCAGACGCCCGGGCTGCGGCCTCCGGAGCCCGCCCTGAGGCGGCGCGCGGAGGGAAGGGCGGGAACAAGTGGGGGGTCCCTGCGGGCGCCCCCGCAGGCGGGTCTGCGGGCAGCTCGGCCCATCCAGCCCCGCTGTCCCCCTCTCCGGGCGCCCTGCCCTCGGGGAGAAAGGCCGGTACCGGGACGTGAAGAGGAACTCGGTCGCGCTCACCGGCCCAGGTAGCGCTCACCGGCCCAGGTAGCGCGTGCGCAGGCGCCGGGCCCCGGGGCCTGGAGACGCGGCAGGCGCTGGGCTGGCCCCGGCTCAGGGGGCTCCGTCCGCCTGCAGCTCCCTCCCTCACGGACAGGGGTCGCAGGGAGTTTGCTCCTTCAGTCAGAGCGGGCCGGCGCCGACCGAGCAGCGCTCACGGCGACTCGCTGCAGACTCTCCCGTCCCATCGGAGCCAGTCCCACGGGCTTCCTGGGCTTGTCCCTCCCCCACGCTCTCTGCCTCAGGACAGAGGTCTTGTCTCTTCCCAGGTCTCAGGGCCCCACGACCGGCTTTCCTGTGTCACCGCCGCAGGCAGGCGGGCCACCGAGCTCCAGGAGGAGGGACCCTGAGGACTCCGATGAAGAACGGGCCCCGAGGCAGCACGGTGAGCGGCGGGAGGAGCCAGCGCTGCCCTCCCGGCTCGGACCTGGTGTGGGTCGGGCGGCGTCTCAGGACGTCACCAGGGAACAGGTTTGCTGGTGCAGCGAACGAGCAAGAGGCACAACAGTGTGTCGCACAGTGAGGGGCTGTTCCCGTCAACTTTCACGTGGGTGACGTAATCACATGTATTTACAGACGCATTAGTAAGCAGTGAATGTGTAAGAACATAAAGTGAGCGAGAAGTAACTAATTCAGAAGAGTCGTCATCGCAAGGGAGGGGGCGGGTCTGGCCGGTGAGGAGGGCCCCACACCTGGCCGCGCGGTGGCCCGCATGGAGACAGACGGGCGGGGACAGTGTTCACGTGGTGATGACGGGAGCTGGGGGGAGGGCCAGGGTCGGGAGGGGTTGACCTCCGTGTGGTTTCCTGATGTCGGCCCCATGTTCTGTCCAGTATCGTGAGTGTTCGGAGGGTGGGGTCCGTCCACTTTCATGGGTCTGGGGTTGACACACGGCTGAGGTCAAGATGTGATCTTCAGCTTCACTGGAATTCTGTTTCTGGGGTCAGCAGACTGTGGGTGCTGACCAGAGTCTAATGACTGAGGAAGGGCGTGGGTGGCCGGTATGTGCCCAGGGGGGAGGATACCAGAGAAAGGAGGCCGGGTGGTCGAGGTGCCCTCAGCCGGGACAAGGCCAGTGGGAATGAAGACAACAGGACGGAGAAAGGGTTATGTTGAAGACGTGGAGTTTCTGTGCAGTTAGTTTTACCACTTTTTTGTCAGGAGAGGCCAATTTACTCTTTAATAAATGTAATAGATGGTTTGTGAACAAAGGGTGAAGCATAGATGACACTTTGTCTATTTTTTTATCATTCTAATGAAATTAGTGGATGGCCCCAATAGAAGCCTAGGCCTTAGTGAACATCAGAAAACATTTTCCAATCATCCTGGGATTGTTCTTGGACTGCTCTCATTCAGAATTCTGTGTCCCTAATAAGAATCTCCAGGTTTTGGAAACATTTACCAACCAAAACACTGATTTCTCATCATTTTTCAGTGAAAACTTCCTGGGTGGCCTGCAGAAGGGAACACAGTAAACACCAGAAGGTGAGTATTTCCCAAATTCTGTTGACGACAAAATTTTCCTCATGGATAGAAAGGCAGGTAAGAGCAGGGAAATGCAAAAAGTATCCTAGGAACTGATGCCTTCCTTTCCTGGTCTCTTCAACACACTGTCTGACATTATCATCCTTCCTTAAAGATTTTATTTATCGACTTTTTAGAGAGGGGGAAAGGAGGGAGAGAGGGAGAGAAACATGAATAGGTTGCCTCTCCCACACCTCCAAGTGGGGGACCTGGTCCACAGCCCAGGCATGTGCCCTGACCGGGAATGGAACTGGTGACCTTTCAGTCTGCAGGCTCAGTCCACTGAGCCACGCCAGCCAGGGCTCATCATCATCTTAATGGTTAACAACTACAGCAGCAATAGTAACTACCATTTGTTTCATTCTCACAATGTTTCAGACTTTAACAATTTTATGTGAATTTACTCACTCGCACATACAACCACCTGATGAGGAAGGTACTGTAACTGTCACCATTTACAATGAGGAAAGTGATCTTTCAGAGATATAGAAATGTTTGATTATATGTCTAAGATCACAGTATCAGTGCTTGTGCAGTCTAATCCATAGTTTCTTCTCTAAACCACTTACAAACTCATTAAAACTTTCAGTTTTTCCCTGGCCAGTGTGAATTGGTTGGGTGTCATCCTGCAAAGCAAAAGATCACCCGTTTGATTCCTGGTCAGAGTGCATGCCTGGGTTGTGGACCAGGTTCCCATTGGGGGTATTTTTGAGAAGTGACTGATCACTGAAACATCTCTCACATTGATGTTTCTCCTCCTCTTTCTCCCTGCCTTCCCCTCTCTCAAAAAACAATAAACAAAATCTTTAAATTAAAAAAGAAAACTTGCATAGTTTTCTAAAATTTACATTGTCTTATACATGTCATTATATCATTCATCTGACTGATGCTTTCAGTCGAAGTTCTTCTCTGCTGTGCTGAAGTGAGAGATGTACGAAGACCCTCTGACTAAGGAAAGCGTACAATGTGCAGGCAGTTGGTACAGTGGAAGGCCCCAGATGAAGAAGAATGTAAAATCCCCGGATCAGAGCCTCCCACCCTAATCAAAGAGCATCTCCCACCCATGAGGAGCTTCAGGTTTGATGATTGAGAAACAACAAATAATAAAATGACTTAAGGGCTTCATATAGATTACACACTCCTCAACAGAAACTCATCTGTCTGGAACTGATTTCAAATGCCCTCTCTTATAGAGTGAAGTAACAGCTTCTTTGTCTGAGCTCTAATGAGGCCACTCTCATCCTGTTTAGAATCATTTGTTCAGCCTGCCTACCTCTGTGTTGTGAGCTCTTTGCGAGCCTGGTCCATACCTAAGTCTTCTCAGAGGTCTCAGGCCCAGATCAGGGCTCCTGAGGGCCCCCAAATGTTTGCTGAATGAATGATTTCATGATTACAAAATAAACTAGAAGATGATTAATGAACGCTGAAGATAATTTCTGTGAGATTGAAATATGGAGAGAGCTGAGAGGTAAATTGATAGCAGAACATTCATGCTGTATTACATAATTCACAGGACACTTTGTTGAACATTATTTAATTGCATGTTCACTATAACATTAAAAATTGACATTATATATATGGGGACACTAAAGACAACTAGCTACTGGTACAGTCTTATTCAAACAATTGGTGGGAACCAGCTAATCTACGTACAAATATTCTTCCCAAGGTATTGCAAACTTTATCACCATCTTATTTATTGTCTAGATATGTTTCTGCCATCTATTTCTGTATTCTCTTCCCCATATCCCTCACTCTCAATATTATAGAGACAGTTGAAAGAAAAGGGCCATAGGCATGGGTTCTAATCTTGGATTCATTACCCACATTGGCCCTAACCCTTTAATATTCATACTCCCTAGATATTTCCAAGGGTTGAAGTATTAAAGACATGCATGTAAGATATATAATAAGCCTTAAAAAATTAAATACATGTTATCTTTTAATATGTGACTCTTATGTTGAAGGCAACATCCAGAGTGCCATTAAGCAAGGAATATAGTTTGAAGGAATTGTCAGGAACAGCAAATTTGATGACTGCAAGTGACTCAGAGCATGCCCAGAAACCAGTGTCCCCTCCTGGAGAAGCATGTGCCTTTGGAAAGCACAGTAGATGAAAATCAGGTTAAGAGAAAAAATTTGGAAACTTTAGTTCCTCTAAGTCCTATAGAAGGGCTGATAAGTATGACCTACGTATGTGGGGTAGACTTTGGGTAGGCCTGGATTTAAGCTGGGATAAGCTGAAGACTGAAGTTAGCACTGGAGCTTTGGGAAAATCCTATAAATTCTCTGAGCTCCTGAATGCTAATATGTAAAGTGAACATAAGGAAACATCACTCATATATTGTTTGAAAACATTAAATTGAATTTAACCCTGGCTGGCATAGCTCAGTGGATTGAGCGTGGGCTGCAAACCAAAGTGTCACAGGTTCGATTCCCAGTCAGGGTACATGCCTGGGTTGCAGGCCATGACCCCCAGCAACTGCACATTGATGTTTCTCTGTCTCTATCTCCCTCCCTTCCCCCTCTAAAAAGAAATAAAATCTTTAAAAAAATTTGAATTTAAAACAGGTGACACATACAAGTTGTCCAATAAATCCATCTGTGATAATAGCAACCACACTTTATTGGTGTTGTGTGCCCAGGCCTTTACTCAATGCCTAAAATGTAATGTGTACTCCATAAATATTTCATGAATGATTAAAGATTGGCAAGTAAAATGGGAAAGATTGGCTGGTAATGGGAAAATCTAGAAACTAAAATTGAATCAGTCATCTGTAATTAGAGTCTTAGTCTTCTGAACCGATAGTTAATGGAATAAAATACCAGAGTACGCAAAAGGACAGGTAACCATTTGATGGGAGGAGATTGTGTGTTATCTGACAAAATGAGAACTAACACTCCACACCACACCAACCTCGCTTACTTACCTGTCCTTCTCCAACTTAGAACTCAGGAGAAAGGAGATGGACATGAAGGTGTACATCCTACAAGAAAGAAAGGGCCATGTGTACCAAGAGGTCAACGAACCCCAGGATGATGACTACCTTTGTAAGTGGCCCTCACTGAGAAACATGTTAAGATACAATAATTTCATCTAGTCCTTTGCTCCCCAAATCATTCCTTTCCTCTAGAGACCTGGAGTACAGGATTGAGTCTCAATGATGTGACTGCCGGACTCCCTCTGAAGCTCTTTGTGTCCAGGAACATGTGCTAAACCTTCCCTAACCCCTGTTGCTCTCACCTCCAGATTGTGAGAAGTGTCAGAATTTCTTCATCGACAGCTGTGCTGTGCATGGGCCCCCTACATTTGTAAAGGACAGTGCAACGGACAAGGGACATCCCCACCGCTCAGCCCTCACCCTGCCCCCCGGGTTGAGAATCAGGCCATCGGGCATCCCTGAGGCTGGGCTAGGAGTGTGGAATGAGGCAGCTGACTTGCCAGTGGGTCTGCACTTTGGCCCTTATGAAGGACACATCACAGACGATGGAGAGGCAGCCAAGAGCAGATACTCCTGGCTGGTGAGAACTATTTACCTCTTCCACTGCCCTCTGGCTTCCCACATGCCTTCTGAGGCTTGGAGGGACCTCACCTCTTATGTGCTAGATATGGATGGGACAATATGATTAGCTCTGTGTACTGGGTGGACTTCTCATGAACACAGAGCTCCTGTTTAAGGATCAGAAGGTGAGTGGGAGCAAAGTGGTGCAGACACAAAGGAGTGGCTCCTCCCTTGTGGGGCTCCCGCTCTGATTGGACAGGTAGACTCAGATGTGTAGACGATGAGTAAGACCAATATCATGTGGTCACAGTTGGCAGTCGAATCCCCATGCATGGTGGAAGAGCTTTGATGACAGTAGAGTAAAATAATTCTTCTGACTATTACCTCCCCACAAAAAGAATAAAAAGTCTTTAACTTCTTTTCTGAAACACAGATCGCCAAAGGGAGAAACTGCTACGAGTATGTGGATGGAAAGGACAGGTCCTGGGCCAACTGGATGAGGTGAGGTCAGCAGGTCTCTGGGGCCAGAGGGGACTCTCATCCCCCCCAAGCCCATAAATCTTTCCCTCTCATGCCTCCCTCAGTGGTCTCCCTTAATCCTTTTTTCCTCTTTTTCTCCATACAGTGTTCTTTCATTTCAGGGGACATTGAGGAGAAAACTATAGCATATGTCCTTAAAATATAAAGCTCTCTGCTAGACACAATATGGGAACTGGAAAGGACCTTAAAGAGCCTCGATTCACCAGGGACACTGGATTACACTTTAACTTATCAAATGAGCATTAATTAAACACTTATTTTATTCAGGTTTACATGAAGGAATACATTACTTAAACAGATCACACAACCCGTGTCCTTATGGTGGACTTCTTGCAGACAGGCATAAAAACATTGCTTTTAGAAACATTTAGCTATAATTTCCAAGAAATGCACCATGTCAAGATACCACAAACCAAGGGTGGCCTGAACCTGTGAGGGCAGCAAACCATCCTGGCCTGCCTTCTAACTAGAGCTGGGCTCTGAGTCCTGCAGAGGAACAGTCATGGGCCCCTTTCCTGAGAGGGGCTCTCTTTTATCAGGGATAACAGAATATGAATCAACTACTACTGTTCTGTTTTATTTTACTAAGACAAAAGGACCTCCAGTTTTCTATGGTAACCTTGTGCAGGCAAGCAAATGGTACCCTAAATAAAGTGCAGGGGGTTGGGACAAAGGCCTCTCAAGAGAAAACAGATGTGGGCTGAGTACTGGATAATTGGTGAGCTAATTTAGAAGCAAAGCCCTAGATCAAGCACCAGTTTCTGTGGTGTGAGAAAACTTGATTTAGAGTTTGGAGAACCCAGAGATAACTGGATATTATGGCCCATCAGGGTGGAGGTTAAGTCTAGAACTGGGTTTTAGAAAGTGGTCTTAGGCAGGATGAACACTTGCAAGCAGGACTTGGAGGCAGGAATTCATATGACATGCTGACAGGCTCAGACACTGAACAGAAGGTTCCCCAGGAGCATGAGGGGCAGTGGGCAACACCAGAGCCTGAGGGCCTTAAGAATCAGTGAGGAGCTGGACATGGATGTAACAGGTATTAGGAATTCATCACTGTGGTTTTCTTTCCCTTCATCTGCTTTAATCCCAGGTATGTGAACTGTGCCCGGGATGATGAAGAGCAGAACCTGGTGGCCTTTCAATACCACGGGCAGATTTTCTACCGAACCTGCCGGGTCATCAGGCCGGGCTGTGAGCTGCTGGTGTGGTGTGGGGATGAGTATGGCCAGGAGCTGGGCAGCAAGTGGGGCAGCAAGTGGAAAACAGAGCTTGCAGCCAGGAGAGGTGGGCACCACTGTTCTTCAAAACAGAAAGAAAAGAGAGAATTCTCCATAGAAATATTTATGATCCAACTCCCAAGTAGAGTAAAATCCACTCTAAAGTCAGTAAAGTTTCATCTCAGATGCTTCAGAAATTCACAATTCATTCATATGCCTTTGACTCTTAGGTAAAATTTTTATATTTTTTATTTTTAAAATATTTCATGAACAAAATACACAACCACATATAGTACTGAAATACTGAGAGGCAAAAAAAAAGTGTTTCCAAGCACTAACCAGTTCTCTCACAAAGGCAGTTTTTCTGACACTTTTATAGCTGTTTCTTCTTAATTTTCCTTCATGCTTCTAAATGCTTCTAAAACGTTTTTGTTTATAGTCATTCATTATTTTTTAAATATTTTGCCCTGGCTGGTGTGACTGAGAGGATTGAGTGCCATCCCGTGAACCAAAGGGTTGCCAGTTTGATTCCCAGTGAGGGCACATGCCTGGGTTTCAGGCCAGGTCCCCAGTAGGGGGCAAGTGAGAGGCAACCACACATTGATGTTTCTCTCCCTCTTCTGCCCTCCCTTCCCCCTTTTCTGAAAATAAATAAATATGTAAATAAAATCTTTTTAACCAAGATTTAGTTTTACAGAGAGTGGAAAGTATGTAGAAAGAAAAACCAGTGTGCAAGGGAAATATTAATCAGTTGTCTATGGCACACCCCAAACTGGCCCACAACCCTGCCATGTTCCCTGACTGGGAATTCAACTTACAACCTTTCAGTTTGTGAGACAACACCCAACCCACCAAGCCACACCATTCAGGCCGGACACATTCGTTCATTATTTCAGTGAATTGTTGGGCAAGATCCGACTCCGTGGCACACAGGTCCTGGGACAGGGCAGTACAGATTAACATGAGGATGAGAATCACTGCTCTTGAGGAGCTGACCAATAATGGAGGAAAACCCATGCACACGTGCTTGCATGTGCATAACACTACCCAGCGGTTAGTGCTTTGGAGAAAACTATCCAGGACAAGTGCCTAGGAATCAGTGTGAGGGGAGGTGCGGTATAGCACATGGTCTGGGAAGGGCTCTCTCCAGAGATAACATTTACAAAAATACCTGCGGGTGGAGGATCCCAGGCAGAGGGAGCAGGTAGTGCAGGGAAGAAAAGAGGTGGGGCATTGAACTGGCTGAGGGTCACTCAGGTCTCCTCTCAGCATGGAGGGTAAGAACACATCATACCATGACCCGAGTAGAGACACGGGACTTTTCTGAGTGCAAGTGTGCAGTCAGCTGTAGAGTGGTATGTTCTCTGTTTTGATTATGCTTTGTTAATTTTTAGAAAATAAACTCCAAACCTGGCTGGTGTAGCTCAGTGGACTGAGCGAGGGCTGTGAACCAAAGTGTCGCAGGTTCGATTCCCAGTCAGGGCACATGCCTGGGTTGCAGGCCACTGCCCCCAGCAACCACACATTGATGTTTCTCTCTTTCTCCCTCCCTTCCCTCTCTAAAAATAAATAAATAAAATCTTTAAAAAAGAAAAGAAAAGAAACTCCAGTGGGGAATCCCCTCAGAGATCACTTCATCTCCAAGTGAGAGAGCATGGTGGATTGGGCAGAGAGGAACAGGAGTCAGAGTCAAGTGTGTAAGACGTGTGGTTGGAAAAATATTTTGAAACGGGACTTCTCTGTGTATTTGAAATGGAATAACACTGAATGGAATGAAGCATAAATATTTGGTGTGAAGCTTGAGGAATGAGTCTAAGATTTTATTTACTTTTAGAGAGGAAGAGGAAGAAAGAGGGAAAAATCAATGCATGGTTGCCTCACACGCCCACTACTGGGGACCTGACCCACAACCCAGGCAGGTGCCCTGACTGGGAATCTGGCCTGTGAGTCCTTGCTCCACAGGCAGGCACTGAATCCACTGAGTCACACAATCAAGGGCAAGAAAAACATATTATTTTATAGTTGTAAAAAACTGAAAGAGAAGCAATTCCTAGTTTTCCTCTTTAACATGACGTAGAGGATACCTGTAGAGAGAAAAGGTCACTGCAGTTCAGGGAATGAAATTGCCTCCCCTGCTACTCGAAAGTCCTTAGTCTCAGCAATATTAGCAAAGACCTTGATGTGGGCTTTATGGAGTTCTGAAGAAAATGCACTGCATGAAAATAAAAAGAAAGATAGATTGTGAGTGGACACTTTGTGGGAGATAGAGCTTGCGTTGTCACCACAATAAGAAGGATTCATGGGGCAGATCTTACCAGGAGACAAGTCGTGGGGCCCAGGCATTCTCACCAACATCCCTGACCAAACCTTTCTCTTTCAGCAGAACCAAAGCCAGAGGTGCACCCATGTCCCTCCTGCTCTCTGGCCTTCTCCAGTCAGAAATTCCTCAGCCAACACGTGAAACTCAATCATCCCTCTCAGATTCTCCAGGGAACATCTGCAAGACAACATCTCCAAGCAGAGGAACTTTGTCCAGAGGATCAGAATCCGCACCACCAACATATTAGTACACACAGCTGGAATGATAAAGCTGAAGGTCAGGAAGTTAAAGAAAGGTCTAAACCTGTGCTTAAAAGGGTCAGTCAGAGGAGAATCTTAAGGCCCTTTTTTCAAACTTCCAAGGAACAAATGAAGAGCTCTAGTGAGCATGAGAGAATGATGGAGGAAGAGCCCTGCAGAGGCCAGAAAGAGAGTCCAGAGGGCACAGGCAAGTTATTTGTGAAAGCAGGAATGTCAAGAATTGTAGCAATAGAGCACGGAGGGTGTTGGCAAGGCTTCAGTGATGGGTCACATCTCATCACACACCAGAGGACACACTCAGGGGAGAAGCCCTATGTTTGCAGGGAGTGCGGGCGAGGCTTTACACGGAAGTCACATCTCATCACACACCAGAGGACACACTCAGGGGAGAAGCCCTATGTTTGCAGGGAGTGTGGGAGAGGCTTTACACAGAAGTCATATCTCATTCCACACCAGAGGACACACTCAGGGGAGAAGCCCTATGTTTGCAGGGAGTGTGGGCGAGGCTTTACACGGAAGTCAAATCTCATCACACACCAGAGGACACACTCAGGGGAGAAGCCCTATGTTTGCAGGGAGTGTGGGCGAGGCTTTACATGCAGGTCAGATCTCATCAGACACCAGAGGACACACTCTGGGGAGAAGCCCTATGTTTGCAGGGAGTGTGAACGAGCCTTTACCTGGAAGTCACTTCTCATCACACACCAGAGGACACACTTGGGAGAGAAGCCCTATGTTTGCAGGGAGTGTGGGCGAGGCTTTACACAGAAGTCAGTTCTCATCACACACCAGAGGACACACTCAGGAGAGAAGCCCTATGTTTGCAGGGAGTGTGGGCGAGGCTTTACACGGAAGTCAAATCTCATCACACACCAGAGGACACACTCAGGAGAGAAACCCTATGTCTGCAGGGAGTGTGGGAGAGGCTTTACACAAAAGTCAAATCTCATCACACACCAGAGGACACACTCTGGGGAAAAGCCCTATGTCTGCAGGGAGTGTGGGAGTGGCTTTACACAAAAGTCAAATCTCATCACACACCAGAGGACACACTCTGGAGAAGCCCTATGTTTGCAGGTGGAGTGAGTGAGTTATTAGCATTAAGTCACATATCAACAGCCATAGGAAGTCAACAGCCCCTTACACTCCCCAAGATTGTAGTTAGTACAGAAATAACTAGTTAAGCCTTCAGTTTCATGACAAGACATGAGATGGACAAACAGTTCCATAGTGATATGGGGATGTCAGCACCAATCTCGTTCCTGGATTTTTGAGCTCCTAAAATGTTTTATCTCCATACACATATGAAGCCCAATACCTCATTCCCCCATCACTAAAAGCAGAGAGTTCCTGAAGAGCCACAGAGAACTCATACTCTCAGTCACAGAAATTCAACCCCTACAAATGGGTGAGTCTGGAGTCAGTCTACTTTGATTACTGCCCAGAGAAAGGGATTTGAGACAGACTCACCAGGGAATGGAAATCCCCAGACTCCTGGGAAGGGCCTTTTTCTCCTAATAGCCTCCCTACCCTCCTCCCTTGGATTCTCTGGGCTCTCCTAGGTTCCTACAACTTCGGGGGCCTCAGAGGTGAACGGCAGGGAGGGATGTGTGCTTGTGCACAGGAGTGAGCCTGGCTCAGTCTGGGCACCTGGTCTTCCTCACTCTCCTTGTTACCCCTTCAGGATCAGCATTTCCTGGTGCACAGCACACAGATTCCACATCAGTCCATAGTGGGCGTGTCTCAGCTCTGTCTTCTCCAGCTGTGTGACCTAGGGCAAGATTCTCAACTTCTCTCTGCCTGGTTCCTAGTCTGTACACTGGAAATGGGAACTCCAGCCTTTGGGTTTGACATTCCAAGTTGAGTCACCCCAGAGGATATCTGAGAACACAAGTCCTGCTGAACAGCCTTCAGTGTCCATGTCTTCCAGGTCTTTAGTGCTGGACAACAGAAGATAAGGACAGGGTAGGGTTCTGTAGCCAAATTCAGAATTCAAGCAGACCCCACTGCTTTCCCCACATTGACTCGAGTGCCCTGACAAGGAGGCCTGAGGTGGGGGATGCACTTCCCTCCAGGTCACCACCCTCCCACTGACCCTGCACACACTCAGAGCCTCAGCACAGGCAGGTGGTTCTGAGAGTGACCTGTGAAACAAGACCCTTGGCAACCTCTTGCTGAGAACTGACACTGAGAACAGCACCTGCCTGCACTGGTGTGTTAGGGTAGATGGTAAGCCAAGGCAGGGAGGACGAGGAAGACGTCTCTCCCACCAAATGAGCAGTCCTGAGCCTGGTGCATTTCATTGCCAGATGTTCCAGCATCACCAAAAACACCATGCTGACACGTTGAAATTTTAGGTATCATTCCCACCATGTGGGAAAGAAAGAATTTGAAGCTATTCATCCCATGGCCTAGAAGGTGGGAGGGGGTCCACAGCACTCAAGGTAAGGGCCCATAAAACAAATTTGACTAATTGCTTGTCTCTGGCCACTATTTTATAAAAGGGTCCCTAGTGCTTACAGAAAGAGCCCATAGGTAACTTTGGGTAACTGCCTCAACTTTAACTCTCCTGCCACACATCTATTTTACAAGATGACCAACTGGGGTCTGAAGCAAGATGAGGATTCAGGCTAACAGACCCCCACACATTCCTGTGGAAGCTGGCACCACTTTTACCTGTCAGTCAATATGTAACTTCTTTGCCTCCATCCTACCAACTGTGTAATTCCTCAAGACCAGGACAAAACCTGGTGCTCTTGCCACCTATGCTCTTGCCTTTCACTCCCATCTCAGCAAGACCTGTCCTCTTCCATGAGAACGTATCAGTAATAAACCCTGTTTGCACACTAACACACTTCCTGATCTGTAATCCTTTACTGCATTGGCAAGAAGAACTGAGTTTCTCCTGTGACTGGTGCACCCAATCTGGATATGGCATTCATGAAGCCCACACCACAGGAGCTTCCATAATGCACTCTCCTTGTACCTGGGTCCCACAGGTCTTCATACACTACTGACACCATCTTGAAATTAGTACTTAATGTGTCTTTAACCTTTTGTTTGTGACATGAAGTCTGATGGGATAATGAACATGCACCATGTGGGTCATTCCTGTCCACCCATTCCCAGATAATGTCCACAATGGCCCAAGAGCATAAAATTCCCATGGACCCAATGGTGGGAGTCCAGCAAGACTCAGAGTGAGAACAGGGTAAACATCTACATCTGCGTAAGCACAGGGAAGGGTGCTAACAGATCCCAGAGGTTGCACTTTTCTTAGAACCAGAGCTGAGTTCAATACAGAGAGATGGTGAACAATACAGAGAGATGGAAGACCCGTCATACCCTCTCCTGCATGAGGGACACGACCTAAGCATGACCCACCCTGTTCTTGCTGGGGTGGGTTCACCAAAGGGGGACACCCACCCCCATGAGCTGGAATGATGACCTTCCCATCCTCCCAGGGCCAGGCTTGTGAAGAAGAGTGTGTACATAAACTATGTAGATTTCAATAATAAATATCCACTATTATGTTCTTTTATGCTTTTTTACAGGAAGGTGTGTGTCTTTCTTGAGTTTCATTTCCCTTCCCTGTTTCTCCCCCGACCAGCACACCCCAGAAAGAACACCATAAACTCAATATTCTGTGACTTTCAGCATGGGCCACGGGAGAGGGGCAGAGTCCTGGTGTAATGGTGGCAGAGGGGCTGGCACTGAAATACAGTGGGGAGGGGAACCCACAGACTGCCACGTGATGGTCACTACTTCCCCACCAGGACAAACACTGGAGCTCTCCCTCCCCTTCAACAGAAAACCACATTCTTAGTGTAGCTGCCAGCCTCAAAGGTGTCCCCCAAATCCACATGCTGTCACCCCTGCCCTTGTCCAATCCCTCCTTCACACAACCGAGCTGATCTGTGTTGTGAAAATGGTGTGTGGCTCTCAAAGCTAAGTCATAAACAGGCCCTTCTGTTTCAGCCTTGCTCACATAGTTCACACGGACTCAGGCCACCTTGTGCAGGGAGCTGGGTGTTTACTTACATTACTTTAAAGCTGCTGTGCATGTGGTCTCCCATAATCTTTGACCACCAGGGAAGGGGGTCTCACAAAGCTGATTTATTATAATGCTATTATAATGAGGCAGGGGTCATATAGCATCTTCTGCACAGTTGCATTCAAGATTCACCATGATTCAGCACTTTTCCAGAAGCAGGAACAACCAGTCTTAGAACAAGATCTCTGCCCTGTATCAATGTCCTTTATCTTAGCTTTGGAGCACCTTTGGAGTTTTCTCCTCACTACCTCCTGCCTTAAATCCAGGCATGTGCTGTGACTGGGAATGGAACTGGGTACCTTTCACTTGGCAGACGGACACCCAGCCCACTGAGCCACACCAGTCAAAGCCATTGCTTGAGTATTGCATGTGCCTTGACCAGGAATCAAACCTGCAACCTTGTCTCCCACCCCACAAAAAAAAACCCAACCCTGTAGAGATATACAAAACTTCACATGAGCCTTCACTGGTGTGGATCAGTAGACTGAGCACTGGCTTGTGAACCAAATGGTCATGGTTGGATTCCCAGTCAGGGCACACAGCTGCATTGTGGGCAAGATTCTCAGTTTGGGGTGTGTGAGAGGCAACAGAGTGATGTATCTCTTACACACATCTACACATTGACGTTTCTCTCCCTCTCTTTCTCCCTCCCTTCCCATCCCTTCTTTCTGAAAATAAATAAACACAATCCTAACAAAATAAACTTAACATAAGCATCAAAATTGGATTCAACATTTAGGGATGGTCCACGATACCCAACGTTTCCTTCCGGTCTGCACCAAGGTTATCCCAATGTGAACACCAGATGGGAGAAGAGAGTCGCACTGGGAACATTTTTTCAGTGATCATATTGTACCTTAAAGCAAGTTTCAACAAACTTCAAAAAATTGAAATTATGTAAAGCACATTGTTGGCACTAATTGCACTTAATCTAGAAATCAGTAACAAAAGGTTTCTAAAAAGTCCTTACTTTTAAGGGTAATGAAATGCACATCTAAATAACATGGATTCCACATTCCTAGATGATCCACTTTGCTCACAACTTTTCCTGCAGACCTGCACTGCATTATTCCCAACTTGAACACCAGATGGCAGCAGAGAAGCACACTGGTACTATGAAGAAAGTTTCAACAAACTTCAAAGGATTGGAATTATATAATGTAACCTTTCTTGCTCTCATTGCAGTTAATCTAGAATTCAGTAACAAAAGGTAACTGGAAGTCCTTATATTTAGAATGCACTTCTATGAGACGCACTTCTAATTAACTCCCAAATAAGTCACTATTGCAGTGGGAAAAGAATTTGAACTGAAAGGCACTACATACCAAAAACTACAGGGAAATGTGTGGTCTTTGGTACGCACAGTAGGAAAGGACAGAAGTTGGTGCTCCAACAGCTCTGAACCCACACAAAGAACCTTATGTAGTGAGTCCAGTCCAGAGAAAATAGCAGAAAGGAAATGTGCACATACAGATGTCTGGGAGAGATACACTTAAAGTGGTAGCAGTTAATGTTCCTTGGGGTAGGATTTTAATTAACTTCATTTTTCTGTATAGTTTCAGTAAGCTGCAACAAACAAAGCCATTTTCATTTTAGGAAAAAAAGTACCAGAGAAAAACATGGAATAGTTTTATAGAATTATAAATAATTCTATATAGAATATTTGTAACAATTGAATTAGAATAATCTAGGCTGTTGTGGGGACACCAGAATCCTTTTCTTTACTCATCCAGCCGGGTCTCTTGACAGTCAGCAGGAAAAAATTCTACCTGTTTAGGCCAAAATGGCTTCTTTTCTTATTTGCACTTCTTCGTGTGCATTGCAGCAGTTCTGACAGAGGAAACTCCTAACCTTTTGTCTCTAAAAGTGATGTGAGCCTGGGTCTGCCGTTTACAAGCTACATTCTTTGGGACACGGAAGAACCCTCCCAGGGTCTTGGCTTTGCCACTTGTAATGTTTTGAGTTTTTGTAGCTTACAACATTTACCCCTGAAGTACCTAGTCTTCAGACTCAGCTTTGCCTCCTGAGAGCCTGTGAGGCTGCACCTGGCAATGCTCAGTGAACTGGGACCAGAAGTCATGTGCTCCCAAAGCTGGTACACGGTCTACGTAATGTGTCCAAGAGAAGTGATCCCACAGGAATGGCTCACTTACATGGAGACCTCACACTCAAACCCCACAAAGAGTCTGAGCACCCTTTTCAGCTCCTCACAGACTGGCTGCAGCTGCTCCCTGCCCCCACTCACTTCAAACACCCCCACCCCACACCCACCCACCCACCGCTCACCTAATTTTCTATGGGCTGGCCTTACCCTGGACATTTCATTTGCACCTGACAGTTGGTTTCACACTAAAGGCAGAGTGAGTATGGGCTTACAGACAGGGTCCCTAACCCTAAACCTAACCCTGACCCTGACCCTAACCTACCATTTACACAACACTTTGGATGAAAACCACCCTTTTGGGTGGTGGTTCCATTCTTTTGCACCACCTCCCCCACCCCATCTCTCCAGTTCCATGTTGTTGTAAAGTGTCAACTGTTCATCCACCCTCACAATTTGTCTTGGAAATAGAAACTGAATTTCCTTATGTTTCCAAAGAAAATCCCACATGGAAATGCTGTCAAGAATGGTGGTTGGGTTTTTTCCCACTTCACTAGTGTGGAACCCAAACACCAAAACAATTACCATAACCATCCTGGTGCAAATGATTTTCCACGATTGATTTGGGTACTTTGAGTATGTGTCCTCTCTCCCGTGTGGCCTTACCTGATCTGTCCTCAGAGAACATCTGGACTTGATGGCTCTGCACTGCACCTGGTCTGTTCGCCCCTGGGGCATCTGCGTCTGAGAAACCTCCCACACAAAACACTGCAAACCACAACTGACATTTTCACCCTTCTTAAAATGCCAAAGCCTAACGTACCAAAAATATTACTTATGTTCATCCATCTTCAATATGAAAACACTCAACAATTTTGATGAGTTTTCCTTAACTCACACTGACACAATATTTGTCATGATACAGTATAACAAAATGGTTTCAAATGAAGTTAAAGACAAGTACATGAACCAGAGCCACGTGACGGGTGTGGGAAGATGGGGGGTGAAGGCTGGGATGTGGGGGCCAACCCAACTTTTTGGCCAACTGGGGATAAAGCAGGCTTCACCCAGCATCGCAGCACTGAGATTATGTAGAGTGTGTGTTTTGCTCTCACAGCACTTAAGCTGGAATTTACTGAAAGTGGGTGACTGGAAAGTTCTGTCTTTTGGAAATAGACTCATAAATAACTTCCAAAATGAACCACTATCTGAATTACAAAATAATTTGAGCTGAATGATTCTAAAAACACTATGTACCAAAACTTCAGAAAGAAATCTTCACCCTTAAATGCACATGTTAGAAACAGAGGTGGAAATGTACAAGTTTTGCTCTCGTACAAGGAATCTAAATCAGTAAATGAAGTCCAGGCGCAGTGGAGGAAACCCGCCCGCAGACGTGTCCAGAGGGGCACGTATATAAAATGACAGCACTTTTTTTTAACCTCTGGGTGGAAATTTTTGAATAAATTTTACTTTTCTCATTTTTTAAGGAAGCTGGAACAGACAAAGCCAATTACAAACAATTTTCAAGCACACTTAGAATTTTTAAAAACCTGCCTTTATTATGCTACAAAGCCAGTTCCAACAAATGTCACATAAGACATGCTTATTCCTCCCTTCACCCTTAATCTGGAAACCAGTCACAAGGTACCAGGACAGTCCTTACATTTAGACATTTCAAATGCACTTGGAAATACCACTGCCATCAGAAGTCACTGATACTCCACTGGAATCAACTACTTATCGTGCTGGCCTGTACTAAAGTGTCATTCCCCCAAATCTCCACGAGATGGCAGAAGAGATGCACACTTGGAACATTTTAATGAACTACAGAAATGATCCCTGAAAAAAACTATAGTCTTACTCGGAACATTTTAAACCTGACCATATTTAACTGAGAGCATGTTTCAATAACTTTGAACAGCTTGAAACTGTATACAGTATGTTTCTTGCTCTCATTGCAGTTGATCTAGAAACTAGTAACAAAAGGGAACTAGAAAGCTATATACATAGAAGTCATGAATACACTTCTAAATAATCCTCCAAATAAATCACATTTAGAAAATACTTTGAACTGAATGATAATAAAAATGCTACATACCAAAATCAACAGCAAACTGCATAATCTTAAGTAGTGCATGCACTGGGAAAAGAGAAAACCTGAGGATTCACAAGGCTTGCACCCATCTGAAGGGCCTGCTGCAGTAGAATCCAGAAAGAGCACCACAGAATAAAGGCAATGTTCACTTACCGATGCCTGAAGAGGTAGATACTTATGACTAGAACAGTTCTTACTGTTTGGAGTAGGATTTCACATCAATTTCATTTTCCTGTGTTGTCCCACCCACGCCGCGCAAGGTCGCTGGGGTCAGGGACCTGCCCTGACCGCGGTGGAACTCAAGGATCTGCCCTGGTCCGCCCTGACCCAGCGCCTCTCTGATGAGAGCTGTGGAATTTCCTAGTGCCTTCTAGAAGGCAGTGCCTGGCTACCTCTGCTACGAGCTCATCTGGACTGCAGGGTCGATGTCAACAAGTTGTCCTCTGACTTTTCAACTAAGAGAAAAGGGACAGAAAAGCTTTCCCATTGGGGCACCTCGTGCCAGGTGGCGTCCCAGTGCCAGCTGAGGGGCCTTGAGCAGGGGCACCTGGCATCTGCAGGACGCTGGCCATGACGCGGTGCGTTTGCGCCGTGAATGAGGACGAGGTCGCCCCTGCCCTGGGGTCTCCTTGAAGTCCACCCTGGAAACAGGCGAGGCCCCACCAGGAAGGTCAGGGCGAGCCCCCAGCTGGAGGGGAGGACGGTGTAGCTGCCCCCATCTGCCACGCCCACTCCCTAGGGAGCAAGAAAGTGGGTTCTCTGCCCTTCACTAGGAAGTTCACCTAAAATTAGGAATCTGTTTGCGTTTCAGCCCCCCAACTTTGGCTGGATTAACAGCAGCTGCATCTAAAACGTGTCTGCCTTCAGTCCTCTCTGAGACCTTTCAGATATCCAGTATTGCTGTTACCACTCTGGTTTCTGAAAGTAGTTATTACCATGTTGCGTTTAATTAGGCCCAGCCTGGCGATTCAGGCTACACAGGGGCTCAGCTGTGGGCTCAGCTGTGGACTCTGGTGCAGGCTGTGCAGCGAGTCCCAGGCGTGCCCTCCACGCTGTACGCTAGCAACATCACTGAGCTTACAAACGATGTTGGCACGCTCCCCAGGAAAGGCAGCACAGGAGGAGGGCGGGGGCCAGGTCTGGCCAGGGGCCTCTGAGCCTTGTCCCCATCCTGTGCAGAGTTTCCTGCCCCTGAGATTTGGGGGCAGAGAGGGCGGAACCTCCTTTTCTCTGACCCGGATCCCCAGCCCCTCCTGCCTGGAGGACCAAACTCCTCTGCAGGAGAAACAAGAAAGGACTCAAGGAGCAAGTGCCACCAGGCTGCAGCCCCAGTGGCCGCACAGGACACTTGCCTTGGGGTCCCTCAGAGACCCTCGTGGGGGACAGGTGCAGGTGGAATGTCTGCAGACAGGAACCCGGGGTCATGTGCACTGGGCTGTCCAAGGTCACAGTGACAGCACCATGTCACAGCCGAGGGGGCCAGGCTCAGGGAGGCCACGCGCCTCATCTGTGGTCCCAGCTCTTCAGAGAAGGGAGGAGGGCCCCATGGCCAGGGTCTCTGGTCGACCAGATGTCTCATCTAGAAAGTCAGTCTTTCTACAGGGACATGAGCTCTCAGAGACCACCAGACCCCAAAGCAAACCTGGGGCAGCAGGGTGGAGGGCGGGAGCACTGAGCTTATTGCCCTGGAGTCGGGGAGCCCAGGCGAGGGTGGCATCTACATTCGCCAGCCCCCATGGAGCTCCAAGCAGAAGCCACGTGTGCTGACCCACTGAAAGAAACTCGGTGGCAGGTCCCTGCATGAAACCCAGGGGGCGGGGTCTGCCAGCAGACGCACTCTGCCCTGTGGCTACCAAGCAAGACGCTGCAGCTGGGGGCCAGGCTGCAGAACTGGGATGGGCAGCTGATGAGCCACCTGCTGGCGGCAGGGCCCGGGGCAGCCCTGAGCTGAATGGCGGTGCGCTGCGCCCGGCCCCACCGCAGGTGTCCCGCCACAGTTTAAGGCTCACGGGAGGCACCCCCTCCCAGGCCGGGGTCTCCCAACACTGTGGGCTGGCTCTGGAAGGAAGGTCGTTCCCTGCTGCTCCCACCGCTGCTTCTCTGTCCCCAAAGCCAGCGGTGACTCCTGGGGGGGCTGTGTGCAGGGACGGCTGCTGTCCTCAGGGAGGGCGGGGCGTGGGGCGTCCCAGGGAGGTCGGGGTGCGAGGAAGGTGCCCTGCTCGGAGCACAGTTCCCGCCTCCCCGCACGCGGGCCGGGAGCCTGCAGTCCCCGACCACAAGTCCGCAGGGAGGAAGCGGGCGGCTCCCACAGCCGTGGTGCAGCTGCATCTGTGTCTGGAGAGCCTGCCCACACCTCACGGCCTTCGGGAGAGACCCCCTGGCACCCAGGCCGGCGTCTTAGTGCCCGCACTGCCTGCGCCATCCCCAGGAGCCAGTGAGTGACCCTGAGACACCCCACCGCCCACCACCACAGCCCGTCGTGGCAGCCTCCAGGTAAGTCTTTGCTGGCTTCCAGGTGCCGAGAGCTGGGCACAGCCGGTGGGGAAGGGCAGAGACCCCCCAAAGCCGAGGGCTCCTCTCCCAGGTGCGAGGGGCAGGCCAGCCCTGGGCTGCAGGCAGACAACCTCCTCTGGACATCTCGTGTGCGCGGCGGGTGCTGGAGAAACGCTGCGCTCAGTTCTGTGTCTGGTCTACAGGTCTGGTGTGGCGCCCTGTTTCCCTGTGTCTCCATCTCCCCAGGAACAACCCCGCCCCCGCCCCGGCCACACCCAGCCCCTGGTCCGACCGGGCCCCCGGGGACCACGTCCCAGGGGGGCAGGAAGACGCTGAGGTCGGGCCCCAGGAGGCGGCCACACGGGCAGACAGAGCATAGGACGGAGGGTCGCACAGGGCCCAGCGGTCGGAGCGGAGGGGCCAGTCTGCAGCTCTCCGCAGACACTGGACTCTGACTGCCTTGTTCCGTTTGGCGTCACAGGTTAATTTCTTAGGTGCCAGAGGGTGGTCCAGGTCCGTGGGTGGGACTTGGGAAGCTCGGGAGAGGGAAGAGTTAAAGAGTCGGCAGGGGCCAAACGTGTTCCCCCGCGTTCCCCCCTCAGCGCGGGTTTTCGGATTGCAGGAGGAACAGACGCTCTACATAAAAGTTCACCACGGGCTGAACAACGAGGAAAGGGCTCCTGCCTACCCTGTGCCTCCCCCAAGGGTGACCCACGCGCTGTCTGCGGACCGGCGCTGCAGAAAACCCTCACCAACCGGTTAAAGTCACCGTGGGTGGGTGCTCGTCCCGGGACCAGCAGGGACCGCGCCCCGCGCTTGCGCCCGCATCCCGAAGGGCAGAGTTCCCGCACGGCGCGGGGCTCAGGCCGCGGCAGGCAGTGGGCACCGCCTTGGTCCCGAGAACCCGGGGCCTCAGGCTCCGGACAGTGGCCCCGGGTCCTCCAGTTGCCTCTTCCGAGAGCGCAGAGCGTGTCCGCGCAGGCCTGGGGCCGGGCGGGCGGGCGCACCGCGGGACCTGGAGAGGCGCGGACGGCTGCCCCAGGGCGCCCGACCCGGCGTCACAGGGACAAGTTCTCCGCAAAGGGGCGGTGGCAGCGGCCCCTTCCCCGCAGCCCGCTTCGGCCCCGGGTCCGTGCCCTGAGACCGCGGCGTAACGATCACAGAGCCCTTTCAGTGCCAGAGAGCCGACTGGACGTGAACTTCCGTCCGCCTCGCTTCCCCACACTCTACCAAAGGGGCCGCTCAGGGCCCCGGCCAGGCCAGGCCAGCGCACGTTTGCGCCCCAGCTCCACAGCCCGCGTTCTCACTGGCAGGCGCCCAGCTGCGGCCACTGCGCCTGCCCTGGTGATGCGCAGCTTGTGCTTTGGGGCTGGAGTTCGGCTGTGGCTCCTCCGGCTGTGGCTCCTCCGGGGTCTCCCCTCGTTCCCAGGTTTAGCTGCTCATTGGTTCGGGGTCTGCTTTTGTTGAGTCGGCAAAGGCGGGGTCGGGGGTGTGGGTGGGAGAGGCACACGGCTTTGCCCAGGGCAGGGCCTCTCCAGAGGGTTCCCCGGAGATGAGGCTCTGACTGCAGCACCAGGGACTGCTGTGCCCGGCAGTTCCGCAGACAGCGTTTCCAGGGCTGACCGCAGGGCCTGGGCCGGGGAAGACCAGGAGAACGAGGGGAGAGAGCACCGCACGGGCCTCTCACAGCTCAGCTCCTCGGGCACCACCGACTCTCGTCACTGTGCGTCGTGACCCAGAAGATTCTGCTGACAAGCACCCAGGGGAGCCTGGAGAATTGCAGCCCCAAAGCAGCTTGAGAATAGCAGTCGCTCACTTCTGCTCGCAAAGCCCCAGGCTGCTGCTGGAGGTCACCTTGCCCGAGGACGCACTTGGAATGCGCTGCTGTCAGCACCACAGATGGAGGCGTCAGACCGGCCCGTCGGCTGCAAGGGCACAGTCCTGCCTTTGGGGGACCATGCAGAACCCCCACAACTGCCACACCCTCCTGCCGTCTGTCACGATCCCGGAGACACAAGCACCCTCCACTGACCGCCGTAGCCAGCACCCCAGGAACACAGGTGTCCACCAGCCTCGTCCTCACTCCGTGTCACTGATCCTCCGGCATCTGTCCTCCGGCAAAGCGGAGCCAGGCTCCAAGGCTGGGAGGTGCTCGGTGAGGAGGGGCGGGGAGAAGGCCGCAACGGAGGCCGGTGGGTGGGGAGAGCTGGGCGGGACCCAGCCCCCTGGCTCCTCGTGGGGCTCGGCCTTACTGGGGTCCTTTGTAATCCCCCAGGAGAACAAGTGTGTGTGTGGGGGGGGAGGGGGCCTGAAATCCTAGCTCCAGGGGCAGAGCTGCGGCAGAGCATCTCTTCTCTCTCCGAAGGAGGAGGAAACAGGCCCAGGGGCCTGAGGGTGGGCTCAGCCACGCAGCCTGGAGGAAAGGGGACGTTCGTTTTCTCCTGTAGCAGCGGCTGTCTCGGGGGTCTGGAGTCACTGAGGGGAGGCCAGTGGGGACGCAGGACCGGGGTCTCCTGGGCACAGCCTGGACCCGGAGGCAGCCCGGGCGGGAGGGGTGAGCCCGAGCAAACAGACTCCCCGTTCGGGAAGACGAGGCTGCGCTGCGGAGCCGGTGTCTGGGAGACGTGGCTGCGGGCGGCCTGCCGTGGAGCCTGGTGGCGGAGCAACGCCCTCCCGCAGCGTCCAGGCCTCGAGGCCGGGAACCTGTGCGTGCCTGGCTTCCGTGGCCAGGGCGGTGAGGGGGTTCTCCCGGGCTGTCCAGGTGACGTGACTGGTCCTCACGAGAGGCACACGCGCCACGCCCTCAGAAACGCGTCTGCACCCCCGTCCTCACCGCAGCGTCATCCACAGCTGCCCAGGCGCAGACGCAAGCCCGAGTCTGCGGCGGAGGAGTGGACACGGGTGTGCGCTGTGGGTGTGGATGTGAGGGGCGCGGCGTGGCCCAGAGCCAGGAGGAAACCCAGCGTCCGTCTGCAGCAGCACGGACGGCCCCCGAGGGCGGTGCGCTGCGTACCGCTTGACCTCGATCTCACTCACGTGGGCGTGCGGGAGCTGAGAACACAGGCCCACAGGGACAGACGGGGCGGGGGGCTGGCAGAGGAGGGGGAGGGTGATCACAGAGACAGGCATGCAGTCACAGGTGAGCGACCTCTGCATGACGACTGTCGTTAACCACCCCGGGAGCTCCCTGGAAGGTCACCAAGGGAGCAGATCTCACGTGTTGTCACCAGAGAAACACAGTTGCCCAGGGCCCCCCCGTGGCATTGTTTTGCAGAACTTCCACCTGTCAGATCGTTGTGTGGCCCACGGTGGCCCACACGGCACTGCCTGTCAGTCCTGTCCCGGTGAAGCTGGGACAGGAGAGGCGGGAGGGTCAGGGCCAGGGAAGGGGTGAAGGGAATGAGGTCCAGGGCCACACCAGCCCGGGAGACCCTGTCCACCCTCCTACCCAGAGTCACGGGCACTGGATTTCTGTTGTTTGTGTCCACTGGTTGGTGGTGAATTGTGACAGCGGCCACAGACACTGGTACCCACACCACTGGTGCACTCACCCGGACCCCCGGGGAGAAGCCGGTTAAGTTCCCCATGGTAGAAAGACCAGGAGAGAATTCAAATAATGTGGCTGCATGGGCTGAACAGAGACATGGCCCAGAGAGCGATGGAGGTGGCAGCCTCCCCTGTCCACCCAGACAAAACGAGCAGGGCCGGAGCTGCTCATGCTGGACGTGCCAGCGGGCAGACGGGCGGTGTGGACACCGAGACCGGCACCGAGGTGGCCGTGGTCCCGGGTCCCGAAGCCCCTCACCCTCTGGACTATGCTCTGTGCCCAGTGAGGCCCACCTGTCACACGGGAGCTGGCGGGGCCCGCAGTTCAGGTGCAGTGGGTCGGCGCGCTCCAGGAAGTCCACGAGCAGGGCGTTGCCCCTGGGCACAGAGGGGAGGAGGGACCGAGTCGCCAAAGACCAGAAGCACTTGGAAGACACACAGCGCTATCAACCCGCCGGGCCAGTGACGCTCACAGAACAGTGCACCCAAACTGCAGAACACGCGTGCTTCTGAAGCACACGAGGAGCGCGTCCCAAGACTGAAAACGTTTCAGAGACAGTGGGGACTGACTGTGGGAGCAGGAGGGTGGGTCAGGGGAGAGCAGTCGGGGAAATTGGACACCTATAGTAGAACAACGATTGAAAAAAAAAGGGAAAGGCATTCAAATGGCCAATAAGCCCATGAAAGGACTTTGCCATCGGGAGTCACTAAGGAAATGCAGGTTACTAGGTCGCAGTGCAGTGACAAGGCCCAAGCAGCGCTGACGTGCAGGAAGGGGTCAGGGACAAGAGCCCACTGAGGTCAGAGGCAGTGGCCCCATGCAGTGTCTGACACAGTAGCATCCGCGTGCTTCTTAAACAGTGGTTTCAAAGGCACCCAAGAAAGAGAAATGAGACAGCGTCCTTGCTCAGTCTACCGTGGTGTCGCGGCTGGACCAGGCTCCTTTCAAAACTGAACAGCCGTTAGCAGAAGCACAGAGACTCGCACCGCCTGCATCCTGGGAAGTTCCCAGGGCCGAGGAGGGAGGGACAGGGAACAGGAGGGACCAGGGTGTGACGTGGGACCAGGGTCACTTGAAGGCTCGAGAGGCCCAGTCTCAGCCTCACTGGTGAGCAACGTTCCAGTGGGTTGAACCCCAGCAATCTGAACGGTCGATGGGGTTTCTGCTCCTTCAGTCCGATCCCCAGCTGCACCTCCGAAGACTGAGATGAACAAGTCACCCTGTTAACATAACACAACATCACATAACACATTACAACATAGCAACATAATATAACATGATGTGCTGTAATATGATACGATGACCTACATACGCAAGCACCTACAGACACCACTGGGAAATTTCAGGACAAGGATGAAGGGGAAATACTAAAAGATGACAAAGTTGAAAAAGAGAGGGAGAGAGAAAGGAAAGAAAACAGTTGCCTACAAAGGAATAAAAATCATATTGGGTTCCCCCTTCCTACCAGTGGCAATGATGCTGGAAATACGTTTCAGTGTAGAATTTGTATAGTCAAAAACTAACATTTAAGTGCGAGATTGAAGCGAAGACATGCTCAGCCATGTTAGAATTTGGAGGGTTTACCACCTATCCATCTCTTTTGAACAAATGAAGGACTTACTCTACCAAAAACAAACAAAAATAATGACTTTAAGTGGACAACATAAAATGCATGGGACCATAAGGAGAAAAAATGAAATAAAATAAAGTTATTATCTCACAAGTTTCACATGTAGAAAGTTGAGAGAATGGAGGGGAGAGAGATTATGTATCTAAATAATTCAGGAGGTAGAATATTTGAAAATGTGTTACTGGGAGCTTCGGGCTACAGCAGTCCTATGATTTCAGCGAGCCAGCTATGTTGGTGGGAAGACAGGGAGGGGAGCCTGGTGGGAAATGGGGGGAATACGGTGATATAAAAAGCTTTGTCTAGCCCTGGCTGGTGTAGCTCAGTGGATTGAGCGTGGGCTGTGAACCAAAGTGTCGCAGGTTCAATTCCCAGTCAGGGCACATGCCTGGGTTGCAGGCCATGGCCCCCAACAACCCCACATTGACGTTTCTCTCTCTCTCTCTTTCTCCCTCCCTTCCCTCTCTGAAAATTAATAAATAAAATCTCTAAAAAAAAGCTTTTTCTTTTTTAGGAGAACATAGAAATAATGATTAATTCTACACCTTGGAAAAAATTTAAGGGTAATTACTAGAAAAATACAAATAGA